GTGAGCTGAGATCGCACCACTACACTCCAGCCTGGGCAATAGAGCGAGACTCCATCTCAAAAAATAAATAAATAAATAACCCTCACTCTGAAAGGATAAAGAAAATGTGGTATATCCATACAATAGAATATGATTCAGCCTTCAAAAGGAAGGAAATTCTGACGCATGCTACAACATGGATGAACCTTAAGGACATCATGCTAAGTGAAATAAGCCACACGCACAAGGACAAACACTGTGTGATTCCACTGATAGGCGGTCTCCAGAGTAGTCAACTTCACAGAGACAGAAAGTGGAATGGTGGCTGCCAGGAGCTGGCCAGTGGGGAAGGGCAGAATTTGTGTTTAATGAACAGTGGTGGTGGTTATCCAACAATGTGAATGAATTTAATGCCACTTAATGAAATGCAGATTTTAAAATGACTGAAATGGTACATTTTATGTATTTTGCCACAATTAAAGCAAATACATGTGGCCGGGCGCAGTGGCTCACGCCTGTAATCCCAGCATTTTGGGAGGCCAAGGCAGGCAGATCAACTAAGGTCAGGAGTTCAAGACCAGCCTGGCCAACATGGTGAAACCCTGTCTCTACAAAAACACAAAAATTAGCTGGGCATGATGGTGTGCACCTGTAATCCCAGCTACTCAGGAGGCTGAGGGAGAGAATAGCTTGAACCCGGGAGGCGGAGGTTGCAGTGAGCCAAGATCATGCCACTGCATTCCATCCTGGGTGACAGAGTGAGAGTCCATCTCAAAAAAAAAAACAAAACAAAAAAACAAAACAAAACATGAATCAGCTTATGAAAATAAGATCTTACCCAGCTTGTTCTCCACCATGTTCTGTATGTGGCAGGTGGCAAGTGTGTGTTGAATGAATGACACTGGAGCTTACCAGCCAGCCACACATCGTCCCCATCCCATCCAAGGGCCGATGTGATTGGAGTGACTTAATGCTGGTGCCTGCAGGACTGTCTTGCCTCCTCTCTCAGCCTCCTGTGGGTGACTCTGGAGCCCGTTTCAGTCCCCACAGCCCTGCACCTGCCCATCACAGTCCCAGTCCAGATGAGTATGAACCCACCTCCCTTCCTGAACTGAGCCACGCTCAGTCCTGAATGACATTAGCTATTTCCAAAACACTAAATTCAAAGCATGAAGATGTGACTCTGCTGTAATTTTCAGGGACCAATCCACAGGACCTACGCGCAATTCCCAATGTCTGGAGATTCAGACGGGACCCCTGGAACAAAGAGGCTGCTCCCAAGGAGACGCAGCACACTGGCTACGGATGCTCGGCACTGGCCCAGGCTCCCCCATGCCGCCTGCCTCACTCCCGTGGCGGGACCAGGCCTGGTGGCCCCTGAGAGTGCAGGAACAGTGTCTAATCTGCCAAGAGACCCCGGGGGAGGGGAGGGGGAGCCTGGTCAGTGAGGGTCTGGGTCTAGATGGATTTTCTCTTCCAATCTAGAGCACAAGCTTCTCCCAAGTAGTCTTTTTCCACAGCCAGAGGCCAGAGCCCCACGTGATGAGGTGCCAGGCCTGATGCTCCATGGCACCCCGTGCCCATGCAGGTCCCCAGAACAGCCACCACTGTCTCCCAGCCACTGATCTCCCCACAAGGCCCAGGAGCACAGGGACCATTCTCACTTCCCTGACCCAGAGACCGGGAGCCTTGGCCAAGAACTTACAAAGATAGACTGCTCCTTCAACCGCCTCTTGGCCTCTTCCGCTTCTAAAGTCTGCTGTTTCCTCCTGGAACGATAAGCAGCCGGCACCCGTCAGGGTGCGCCCGGGGGGCCCTGGAGCGCTGCCGGGCGGGCGGGCTCACCTGTGCTCCTCGATCTGCTGCTCCCGCTCCCGGTAGCGCCGCTCGCGCTCCTCTTGCTCCTGCCGCTCCTGCTCCATCCGCTCCTGCTCAAACCTGAGCCTCTCATCCAGGGCCTTCTTCCTCTCCTCCTCCTTCCGCAGCTCTTCTTCCTTCTGCGAGCCCCGGTGCGAGCAAGGGTAGGCCCTGAGCCTGGGCGCCTGAACCCTGTCCCTCCGGCCCCTCCCTAACCCAGGGCTGGGGGCGGGGCACGTGGCATGGGCCATGCCACTGCAGTGAGGGACTCAGACCTGCCCCATGGGGTCCACGAGGGGCGGCTCAGCCAGGCCAGGCTCAGGGTTCCATACCTTGGCCTGCTCCCAGAACTGCTCTCGGTTAATCCGCTTCATTTCCACAGCTGCATCTGTCTTCTGGTAGGTGGTGCCCTGCGGTGTCGAAGGACCCAGCATGGGCAGGCTGAATGCCCCAGGAGCCCCCCACACCTAAAGGGTGAGGGCTAAGAGGGACCGGGCAGGCCAGACTGGAGCACCAGGCCACGCAGGCAGAGCCCACGGGTGCCAAACACACACTAACCACGGGCTCTGCGTTCTCATCCTCTCGCAGCCGCAGCCGGTGCAGTACGGGGCTGGAGAGCCGCGCTAGCCCGTTGGAGAGCCGCTGCCCGATGGCACCTGCGTCTATGTCTTCCACGCTGCTGGCGTTCACGATCACGTCGACGCCCTTCCACAAGAAGATGGCAGTGCTCAGGTGGCAGCATCCTCCCGCCATCACCACCCCAGCACACAGACCCTGGTGGCTGTCCCCACCCCTAAGAGCCCTGGCCCCCGACACACACCTGGAAGAACTCAGCCACCTTAGCCACATGGCTGGCACAAGCGCACTTGCGGGCATCAGGCACATCTTCACCCACCTGCAAAGTACCCAGCAAAGAGGCGGTCGGGAAAGGACAAGGGGGGGCCCTACATGATAGGGTGCATCTTCCCCGGAACTGGTGGGGTTCCCTCTCCACGGGTGTCAGAGGGCCGACGGGAAGGGCGCCTGCTCTGGGCCTTCAGCTCCCTTCCCCAGCCCCAGCCGCATACCCAGTTGATGAGCACGTATTTTGGCAGAGCAGCTTGGGAGTCCTTGACACTGCAGAAGCCGTACATCACCTTCTGGTTCTCAAAGTGTCCCGAAAGCTCCTGCAAGCCCCCTTCTGGGGTAACCAGGAGAGCGTCAGGTTTCTCTGCCTCCTAAACCCTTCCCAGAAAGAGCCTGGAACTCAAAGGAAAGGCTCCTCCAGAGCTCCGCAGGCCCCCCAGGGGTTTTCTGGCCTCTGGGATGTGGGGGCCCCAGTTTGGTGTTGGTATGTGTGGGGGCGGCAGTGCACAGGGATGCGGCTTTGCCTATGACTCCTGCAGGCCCTGATTTGGGGTAGGACTGAGGAAGTGTTTGTTCTTCACACTCAGGTCTCATTCTTCACACATCATCATGTCTTACCAGGTGCCAGTGCCCAGAGGCACAATCAAGCCTTCTGGCTCTGGGGAAGGCGGTGAATAGGGCCCTTCCCCCAAAGCGTCCCAACTGTGTGGCTTTAGGCAAGTCACTTTCCCTGTTGGAGGCTCAGCCTCATAAGTCCAACATTCAACAAGACTCAGAGCTTCCTCCCCACCCTGGGGACACAGGGATGACTGGAGGAAGGACACTAGCCAAATCTAGGCAAGTGTGGGGCTGCAGGGTGCAGGCGGGGAGGTGGCCTACAGTCAGGTGGGTGGGGAAGAAAACAACGGGAGGAGGGGGTGGAGAGGAGGGGGTGGAGAGGAAGGCGAAGGAATGGCTGGAATTCCTACCTCCTGATGCTGCAAGCTTGAGGTCATCCGAGCCATCCTCGTATGTGTACAGAGCCCTGGGGAGAGGGAGGGGTGGCTGTCAAACTGTCAGGGCCCAGGCCGCCAATTCTGGGTGGGGACGGCTCTGGGGAGGGATAGGGGACATGGAGGGGGTAGGACAGGAACAGGGAGGGCTCCTGCTGTAGCCATGACAACAGGGCCAGGCATTGGTTCAGGCGGGAACCCAGCAGGGTGCCGCTGGAGGCCGGGGTCAGGCGGGGCACAGGCAGTGAGGGGAGAAATTGCTGGCTGGTCGAGCTCAGTGCGCAGCATCCCGGCCCTGGCCCTGGCAGCCTACAACCCAGTGGAGCGGGTGTGTGATGGAGATTCCAAGGCGACGGTTCCTTGGTTACTGTTCCCTGGCTACCACAATCCTCATCCCCCATTGGCTAGTGCCAGGAACTTACCTGGCACGTGCCTTGGTCCCCGCTGCCCCTCCCCCGGGGAGGGAGGAGGAGAAGAGAGAACCTGGTGCTCCTACAGCTCTGGGCATCCCCCGGTAACCATGGCAACCCTGCAATTGGCACACGACTGGCCCACCCCAACTGCATTCTCCTTGAACACAAAGGACCCTGGGGACCCGCCCTCAGCCTCAATCTCCGCCTCTCTGAAATGGGGATGAGGTCACTGCAGTCACTCTCGCCCAGACTCTGGCCCCAGGGTGGCCATGCGTGAGCTTCAGGCCTTCCAGCCCCTAGGCTGCCTCAGCCCTGGCTGAGGCCTCCTGAGACTGCTGGCCTTTCCTTCCGCCTGAGCTTCAACAGAAAGCTGACCTGGCGGCCTTCCTCCTCCTCCTCCTCCCCAGCTTTGTGTGCCCTGGCTCCTTCTGATAGGCTGTGGTGACAGAGCATCCATTTCACGGAAGGGAATGCAGAGATGCCTCCCCCATCACCCCATGCAGGCCGAGGCTGAGGACCTTCTGGGAGGGAGGAGAGCCGGGCCTAGGAGGAAGGGCCTTGTCCCTGAGGTTTGAAAGGGCTCAACCCCTTCTCCAAACTCCTATTCCCACGTGCCAAGGCAGGAGGCTGGGGCTGTGAGGAGGGGAGGCAGTAAGGGAGGGCAAGGGGGAAGAGAAAGAGGAGGGGAGAAGCAGAGGGAGAAACAGGGAGAGGGGGAAAAAGAGAAAGGACAGAAGTGAAGGGACAAAGGAAATGAAGGCGGGAGGGACGGAGGGGACATCTTAAGAGGTTGTGGCCAGGGCCAAATGGCCCCAGCCCCTCCCCTTCCTGAATTCCCCACTTCCTACCTCCAGAAAGGAACACAGGTGGGCTGGGGGGCTGGGAGTTCCTGGTCCAACTGTTACCCCCAGCTCTGGCCTGACCCTGACAGCTGCTCCCAGCACAGCTGGCCCACCACCTGTTCTGCTGCCCTAACCCACCACGGGAACAAAGGGCCCTGAGAGAAGCAGGCTCTGTCCCTCTCCATGCACAGATGAGAAACTGAGGCAGAGCCCAGGGACCCTAGTTCCTAGAGACTGCTCTAGACATCAAGCGTCCCTGAGAGGACCTGTCTTGGCCTGCCCAGGCTCCCTGGGGCGCCTTCCATCCTCAGCCCCTGCCTACCCACCTCCGGCCACCTTTTCCTGCTCCAGCGACAGCCCTTCTCCAGCAGAAACCATACCCCAGTTCAAACCCTCCAGCCTGCCTTTCCATCAGACTGCCCTGTCCACACCACACACTTGGGCCACACTGGACGGCTCCCTGACCCAGGCAGGGTTCTGGACAGGGCTCACCCTGGAGCCTCTGCCTATGTTGTTCTCTTCACATGGAAGGCAAGACCTGCTCCTCTACCCCACGCTTATTCCCAGTGGAATCCTTCCATTCTTCAGAGCCCAGTGCTGGCTGCTGGCCCCCAGCAGCCTCCCCTGAGCTGCCCCTCCCAGAGCACCCACCACATCCCAGCAGGAATACAAAGACCAGTGCTTCTCAAACACATCAGAGGCATCCCGAGCCTGGTGCTGCACCAGGTGGAAGCTGGTGAAACCACAGGGAATCAGGATGGGGTAGAGGACCCCTACATATCTTACCAGCTCCAACTCCTAGAGACAGACACTGCCCCCAACTGTAAGCCTCCTGAAGGCAGGAACGCTGACTCAGTCAATCAGCACATCCTGCTCTCTGGGTCCTGGGGTCCAGCACACCGCGCACCATAAGCATGTGTGATATTGACACCAACTTAGAAGCCATCTAGCCAGAGATACTGAACTAGTGTCTCTGAACTGAACTAGATGGGAGCTGGAATGTGGCAGTTCCAGAGACCCTCGGGTGAGCTGGGGTGGGCGGGTGAGGGCAGGTGGACCCCTCAGGACCATCACTCTCAGGATGGTGGTGCTAGAAAGGCCTTCAGTATCTGAGGTAGGGCTGGGCCCAATCCTTTTTCTTTCCAAGAGGACCAGGAACTTGTATATGATCACAGTGAGTCATATCACAACCGGGACAACAGCGGCCCCTCCCACTATACAACCTCATTTCCTGGGTCCCCAGCTCCCTGTGCCAGAGTAGTGGTCCACTTCAGAGGCCGTGCCACCTAGAAGTGAACTCCCCCCCAACCACCCCTCCCCACTGGAAGCAAGGTAAGCGGGGGCAGACAGCCAAGACACCCCTCCCCCTGGAGCTACGTGCAGCGTCTGCCTCTGAGTCTTCAGACCTCACTGCACCCCTGGTTCCATGCTGGGCACTGGGGTATTCATATCCTCTTGTGCAGAAAGTGATCCTCACACCCCTTTTTCAAAATGTGATCTGGGCCCGTAGTGAACAAATATGTGCATGTCTGCATCTGTGTGTCCCACACACAACCCAGATGGGGGGTGACGCACACCAGTGATGAATAACTCGCTTTGGCCACATGGATGCTGCTGGGGCGGGGGGGGGCAGGCCTCTGTTGAGCAGGATGTTGAGCAACAGGGGTTCTGTGGCCCTGGCAATAGGCCACCAGGGCTCTGCTTTTAGGAGAAAATGGGGTGGTGGTAGACAACACCCCTCCAGACTGGAGGGCAAAGGAGGGGTTCTGGGGTGAGCTGTGCCTCTCCCCAGGCGGGGCCTTACCCCGAAGCCAGCTCCTACACCAGGCCAAGCCGGCCACTTGCCCAGAGCTCCTCCCATGATCTCAGCCCCCTGGGGCAGGGCTGGGACAATGGGTGGGCCGCCTGCCTGCTGAGTCTGTGCTGGCCTCTCCTGTGACTGACCTGCAGGACACGAGAGCTTGTCTCTCTCGCGTCCATCCCTCCAGGCCTGGCTGCTGGCCAGTGCTGCAGTACCATGCCATGGATGCCCAGCCATCTCATCCTCTCCTCCAGGAGCCCCCAGGTCAGAGTCTCCACCTGACTGCCCGCCCAGTGTGTGGGTGAGGCCAGCCCAAGCGGGGTCCTTCAGACCCGCCCTCCTCTTTGCCTCAGTTTCCTCAAGAAGAGCCTGTTCCCATCTGCCAGCGGGGAGAGGCAGCCTAGGAACCAGATGGGCACCTTCCCCAAGAGTATTACGGGGTGGGGCGGGGAGGAAGAGGATTCCAGGATGGGGCAGTGAGGAACCCCTCGGTTTCTTCTTTCCGCCGCCAGCCCCAGAGCAGGTGGTCCATCCCTTCCCCCAGCTCAGGGGGAGACAGCAGTTGGGGGGCGGGGAGAGGGGCGGCCCAGCTCCTCCCCCATCAGGGACCGAGGGCCCCTTGGTAGGGGCCCGTGGATCTGTTCACCCCTTCAGCCCTCTTTGGGGGCTCCCTCCACACTTGTTCTCCAGAGGGCTTCCTCCCAGGGACCTCAGCTGGCGCCCTAGACAGGCAGCTCAGTGCCCCCCAGCCAGCTGCCTAGTCCCCGCAGTCCCCTTCAGGTAGGGGAGGAGAGCTCACCCCTGCCTCCTCCGCGACCCGCGGCGGTAAGGGAGTCACTTCGCGGTCGCCATGTGGCAGCAAACATCCTTCCACCTCACTCCAGCCCAGGTTTCCGGGGGGAGGGCGGCCCACTCCGAGAGGCCCCCGGTGGGCGGG